CATGTGACAAGGTTCTGCTGCCCTGGTGGTTGGGTGCTGTCAATGGCCTTACGTCCTGTGATGAGCTCTAAGAAAACAACGCCGAAACTATAGACATCAGATTTTACGGTCAGTTGTCCTGTCATGGCATATTCAGGAGCACAATAGCCGTAGGTCCCCATGACCCTTGTGGAGACATGTGACTTATCTCCGGTAGGACCAAGCTTTGCTAGTCCGAAATCAGAAAGCTTTGGGGTAAACCCTTCGTCTAGCAAAATGTTTGATGACTTGAAGTCCCTATAAATTACCGGAGGATTAGCTTTATCATGAAGATGCTCCAAACCTTTGGCTGCGCCCGCTGCTATTTTCATCCTTTTGTTCCAATCCAATGGCTCTTTATCGGGTGGTAAATCTGAAATGAAGCTCCCAAGTTATTAGTGACAATATTATCATATGGGAAAAAACACGGATGACAAATTGACTTGAGCAACATATAAATGACTAGATTTTGTTTTAAGGAGGGCATGCTACTATATCAAACCCCGTATATAATTTGGCTAGTCCGTGTATGCAAAATGACCTTTGTGGGCACAAAATCATGCATCTCAACCCTTGAAAAAGATGGTTACTCCATAGGTAGGATAGGAATAAAGGAACAAGCAAGGCACATGTTAGTAATGCTAATGCAATGCTAAAAACTGTATGTGCTGAAGAGATTAATACTCTGTTTGGGAGCACCATTTGTAATTAGCATTAGAGGTTTATGAACAATTTTTTAAAGGTGCACGTTAGCACTTGAAAATCCTAAATCTAAAAGCTAGACTTTATAGCATTTTCAGGAATGCTAAAGCTAAAGTGCTAAACTACAACGCTGATGTTAACACACACTATCATTATGCCGTGTTCAAGGAATTTGAGAAGGAAAAGAAGATAACGATAAGAAATAACTTTTTCTTGTTTGCTTACAAAGGAAAAGAAAAAAACGAGACGAAGAAATAAACAAAAGGGTGGAGGAGAGAATTTTTCTTCCAATTTGGTGAGGAAATGGAGAGAAAATGAGAAACCTTTTTTCTTTCCTTCTTAATTTTCCTCGAACCAAACACAGCGTAAGTACATAAGAAGAACAAACTGTATAGCTAGAATCAAGGGTATATGGTTTACCATGAAGGTGATCTTCCAATGATCCCAAGGGCATAAATTCATAGACAAGAAGCCTCTGGTCACCATCTGCACAGTATCCAATCAAGTTAACTAAATTAGGATGATGGAGAAGGCTGAGCATAAGTACTTCCACAAGAAACTCTCTATTCCCTTGAAGCCCATTCCTATCCAATTGCTTAACAGCCACAGCCTGCATCGATCATAAGGAATTAGACAACAATGGAAACCCATCCAAAAAAAACTATTGAAGACAAAGGTGGGCAGTGATGAAACCACAAGAAAGGAGATGGCTTGCATCATTCTTGAAATTTTCAAGATTTGATTTAAAATGCTGCCTCATGCCAAACATAAACCTAAACTTTGAAAAGTTAAACTGAAATGATAATCACCTGTCCATTGGCGAGTTTCCCTTTATATACACGTCCAAATCCACCTTCACCTATGAAAGATTCGGGCCTGAAGTTACTTGTAGCGGCTGCAAGCTCGCGAAAAGTGAATGTATGAGCCGCGATCTGACCACCGGGTAAATCCTTTAAAACTGAAGGTTCTCTCTTCAGGCTAGCACTACTTCGTGATTTTAATCGGTCTGCTCCTGTAAGTAATATCATCCCAAAATCAGTCTACATACAAAGGTTCATCCAAAATCTCTATGGGATCCAATATAACAATCAAAATGGCAAATAGTTCATTCCTCATACGCTAGAAATGGCTTTTTCCGGATCTTGCCAACAGAAATCTAAATTGACTGGATTGAGCTTAAAACTAAAAGCACAGAAGAATGTAAGATTTGGGCAATAATCAGTTGCCCAGATTTCATCTACACCCAAATCAAAATTTCAATAAACTCAATCTGAACAAGATCTCATTTATCCGGTCATGACAGAGAATGGAAATTGCTAAATGTAAAACAAATTGATCAATTCCTATCACAGCATCCATGGGTTTTATCCAAAGAACTGCAGCCAATAAATCTCATAGAAGAGATCAACTCAAATCAAAAGTAAAAACCCCAGAACCTGAAGACAATCTGGACATGTTGGAAGGAACAGTGGGATGAACTTCAATGTGATCATCGCTCCCTTTGTTCAGCGTCTCAGCCTCCTTTGAATCAAAACAAGGGAAGCAACCCATGCGTTCCTCCAACAAAGATTCGAACTTTACAGAACCCCTTTACTATAAAAAGAACTTCTACAAAAAGATTGATCAAATTGACTGAAACCCCAATCCAGTCGTCAACTTCTACATCTCAAGAATCCCAAGAAACACAAAGGGAACAACTCAATGCGTGTAAAGAATCTGGATCTGCGTGCACCAATCTGGGCATCTATGTTCCTTCCTGGCGATCAGAAACAAAAGAGACATTCAATAACAGCCCTCCACCTCAAGTAGAAAGAGGAGCAGCAAGAAAGATTCTGGGAAAGGCTATTTTTAGCAATATCGCGAGAATATGAAGGCGAACATACCAAATGGATGAAAGATAGTGATTTTGAGACAGAGCTGTGCCCGGCTTTGTTGCGTCTTTCCAATCCAACACAAAAGCCCGCCCCCACCCCCGCCCCCAACCCACCCCTACCCTAGCCCGCCAGGTCCTTGCTGCGAATCTTTGACATGCGAAATACGGTGTATGAACGCGTATTAACTGTACAAGTATACGGCCACAAAGTCTACGTTTATTAGGTTTATACGTAGTTATTAGAAACCCCGTTTAACCGCAGTCTACGACTTGTTTGACCAGCAGATATCGATAATCTTGAGAAGAATTAAGCTAGGGTACACCAATATGGGGTACCCCAAGTGTACACCAAGGCAACACAGACACACACAGACATAAAGTGTCTGTGTTGCACAGACATTTTGTGTCTGTGTGTCTGTGTTGGCTTGGTGTACATTTGGGGTACCCCATGTTGGTGTACCCCTAGCATTGCCCTCTTGAAAAACTAATTTCAGCGATAATAATTACTCCGTAGTAGTAGTAATTAGGCCAAATAGCGCTGATACCCCGTGGTTTGCAAAATAAGTACCAATACACTCTATGTTTTCAAAACTCATTTCTAAAGTCTCTGTGGTTTCAAAATGTTGCACCCGTGCCCCCTCTGATCATTTTCCGGCCATTTTTCCGGCGAAGAAGGGGGGTAATGGTGTGTATTTTTTAAACCATATGGGGTATCAGTGCTGATTTTTATTTCTCTCATATTTTTTGTTCTTTCCATTTTTTCCTTATTTTTTTCATTTTTAATAAAGGTTTTTTTAAAAAATTATTTTTATAATGTTCTTAAAATTTAAAGTTATTTTTGTTTGAAAAAATAACATATAATGTTTATGTACTTCTCAAATTAATAATTTTTGTTTTTTCTGAAAAAAGTAATTTTTTTAAGAACTTCAAAAAAATGAGGAATAAAATAAGAAAAAAATTAATACAAAAATAAAAATGAATATCCTTTTTGGACATCTTAATTCTATGGACTTTTTTAGGCGTGTTCAATTTTTTTTGTATAAGACTTTTTTTGCGTATTTTAATTTTTTTCATTTCGTTTTTCCATATTTTTATTTTTTTATTCTTTGTTTTTTTGAACTTTTCAAAAAATTATTCTAAGTAACAAAAAGGGAAAATGTTTAATTTCAGATAGATGTAATATATGTTAATTTTTTTATTTTTATTTTCATTTCAAACACAAAGACTTTGAAAATTTTTGAAGCATTATAAAAAATTGAAAATATATTTAAAAAAATCTAGGAAAAGGAAAAAGAGATAGAAAATATTTAAAAAAAGGAAGAATAATAAACGAAAATAAGAAATGAGCACGAATGCCCCCTATGGTTTAAAAATTATGCGCCAATGCCCCCTCTTAGCCGGAAAATGATTAGAGGAGGTGTGGGTGCAACGTTTTGAAACCACGGGGACTTTAGAAATAAGTTTTGAAAACAGAGGGGGTATTTGTGTCAATTTTCCAAACCACAGGGGGTAACGGAGCTATTTGGCCGTAGTAATTATAACTTCCCCAACTCCAATTACACAAGCTGACAAGCTTGATTGGAAATTACATCACTCAATTATAACTTCCCCACCTCCAATTACACAAGCTTGATTGGAAATTACATCACTCAATCTTTCTTGACCTGTACCAGTATTTTTTTAAGGAAAAATCAGAGTCAGTCTTGAGAAAATGGGTCTTTGTCTTAACAAATTAAATTATATAACTATTTAATTTAAAATATCGATTAATATTATTATAATATACATAAAAATTTATAATATCATAACTAAATATCATATTAGCTACCCTAAAAATTTATTTTTTTTAAATTTTTTTTATTAAAAAATATACAATATTTATATTAAAAAATTAAAATTATTGGGCCCTCGAAAAATGGAACTTGACCCGTAGGGCAACTTGGCCCACCCTCAGCCCAGCCTGGGAAAAAAATGAAGGTGTTAACTATTAATAGTATGAGCAAGACTATCTCGTATGAACTTTGGTATGGTAGCCACTAACTTGAGTTTGAAAATTTTGAGCTATAGGGCAGTAGTAAGATTCTCTGAACCTAACGAAAAATTTTGGGCGAAAAAAGTGTTGATTGTAATTTCATTAGATATGCCAAGTATTTTGAGACATAGGTTTTATCTTGTAGAACCTAGTGACTGGGTATGTGTTAACACTGTCATAAAGTCAAGAGATGCAATCTTGAAGAGAACAAATTCCCACCGATACTTAGACCGAAAGATATTTTTCTAGGTAATTCTCTCCTGCCAAACCATGATGCTTTTAGTAGTCACTTAGTTCTTACTCATGTTTCTCATTTTCCGACAGAACATGGGAAAGTCAAAATATTAGAGTTGCCAAATTCTTTTGCTCTGAGTTTTAATTATATTTAGTTGACGGTTCTAGGAATGAAATTTTATTTCAATATCAATAGGTTACAATATTGAGGAATATCTTAGAACATATAATGAAGTTATGGCTTCAAAGGACATGACTTTCTAAAAAGAAGTAAGTAGTTCAAGACAAGATGTACTCCTTGGAAAACACTAATTGGAAACTAGATGTTTTACTTCATAGATGCAAACCTTAGATTGTAAAGAGATCTTCTAGAAGAAGAATTGAAGAAGAAAAAGAAGAAGGTAGACGATACCATTGATACATTTAAAGCCGAATAAATGCTCTTGTACATAACCTTGTTATTCACCAAATAAATGTGAAAAGCTACATTTTTGAATGTTGAATTGAAAGAGGAGATTTATATGAATCAACCACAAAGTTTCACTATGCGTGTTAGTGAGCATGAAGTATGTAAGTTGGGAAAGTCGTTATATAGCTTAAAGCAGACACCTATACAACATCATCAGAGGTTTGATGATATTGTGTTGTCACACTGTCTCATGTTGAATCAAGATGACAAGTGTGTATATAACAAATTGGATCCCTCTCGTAAATGAGCTATAATTTGTCAACATCAAGTCAATAAGACTAAAAAATGTTGTCATCTAAATTCTCCATGAAGAATATACAGGGAGGCAGACGTAATCTTAAGCAGTAGGATTGATCGTGGGAACACTTGGATATCCATAACACAGTCTCATTACATTGGGAAGGTGTTGAAGAAATTCAGTTTTTTAAATTGTTCTATGGTAAGAACCCTTCTGAATCCTTCATAAAATTTTTACATAGCAAAAGTAAAGTTATATCATAGCTTGAATAGTAAATGGCTATTATCTATTTAATGTATGCCATTATTAGCACACGACCTGACATACAATTGATGATGGAAAGTTAAGTAGGCAAACTAGAGATCCCGATACACATTAGTGGTAAGCTATGAGGATTGTATTCAAATTCAAATAATAGAGGAGAACTATGGACTCTGGTTTCGTATACTCTCCTAATCCTCTTGTTGTAGAGGGATTTGTAACACTCTTACCCCTGTAACTCGAATACATGGACTAGCGGACCAGGTTGTCACTCATTTGGCATCCAAACAAAATAATTTCAAAAATATTTCTAAAATATTTAATTCAAAAACATTATTTAATTATATATTGAAGTAATATAAAACGATACGGAAGCTTAAGTACTTAATTCAAACACGACCTTAGATTCTTTCCCAAAAATATACTAAATTCAAACTGAAATATTAAAAAATTGTTGCTTCTAAAACCCAATTCAAACCCAATTAAAAAACCTACACTCCATTAAAAAACTTACGGTCTTTGTGCGCCACGAGTTACACTGCCAACTATTTTGTGAAAACGACACGTGTGCGTGACAACTTCCAGACCATCGATTCTTCAGCTACAATAGTCACAACCAAAAATGGATGAGGAATATCTTTTGCTGAAGACAGCCGCTACAATCTTTTTGGCTACTGCTAGCTCGTAACCCAGACGGCGATGAGAAGACATAAGTTGCGTGGCAATGACACGTGATTGCACGGTGCTCTGTCCTCTAGCTGCACTATAGATTTCCCTAAGATCTGGAAACAAATCTTAAAACAGAAATGATCGAAAAATATCTCTAGCAAGGACATCATTGTCGAAAATTGGATCTAGGTAAGGGCATCAGTGTCATAAAACAGCTCTAGCAAGTGCAACGACGATCGAAAATAGATTTGGGTGTGGGCAACGACTTCATTTGAATAAGAAAACACATCAGAAATCATTCTTACCTCCATGGAATCGATATGAAGTGGGCGACAAAGATTATATTTAGGATCGGGAAGAGAGACACAACGAATGAGTTGATTTAGAGAGGAAGGGAAAAAGAGTGTCATAAATGTGAAGAGTTGATTGAGAGGAAGAGGAATAGAGTGACATAAATATGGGGAGGTTGGATAGTAAAAGATGAAAGGGTATAATAATCCTTTTTTATCTTTTTAAAAGAAGTTGGAAGATAGTCTTAGGACGTAGAAAGTAGTTATTTATAAACTTCGTCCTTGGCCTGAGTGGTACGGAGCTCATACTCTAAGATTTAAAAGAAAATTCACCAAAGTCAAAAACATTAACTGATCGTTAGGGGTGGGTTTGGTTTTGACGGTTCGTTTTCACCTAAAACCAAAGACCAAATGGAAGGTAAGTTGGCAGTTTGGTTCGGTTCGATTTTGCATAAAAAATATATAAACTGTTGGTTATTCGGTTTGGTTTTGTGCAGTTTTTATTTCGGTTTTTAAAAATAAAATTTATAAGCATTAAAAAGTTGTAAAAACAGTAATTCGATGCAGCAATAACAATAGGTAGGCTTGAGCTCGGTTTTTTCGGGTTTGATATTTACATAAAACCAAAATCAAACGGAAGGTTAGAGTTCGGTTCGATTCAATTTTACATAAAAAAATATGTGTCGAGTGCCCAACAAACATCTAAGAACTTCCAAAAACTCCAAAAGCTTCCGTATGTAAATATGAATTACAGATAATTTGCATTTTTTGGCATAACACTTTCATTTCTATTATAGCATCAACGTTTTCTCATGTAAATATATAAATATCTCGTATCAATTTTTAATGTTAATATAATTCCGTATCAGGATTAGTTATTGATGTTTATATTTCTAGGCTTTTTTAAAGTTTATAATATGGTTTATAAAGTGTAATAGTTAAGAAAAATAAATTTAATCGATAAATCAATTATTTACATTTATATTTTTATGATTTTTCTCATATCACATATACTCATATAAGTAAAGCAGAGTACCTAAGGAAGTTCGGTTTATTCGGTTCGGTTCGATTTTACGAGGTGAAAACAAAAAACGAAAACCAAACAATAATGGTTCGGTTTGGTTTTTTACATTCAGTTCCGGTTTTGGTTTTTTTGGTTCGAGTGTTTTTCAAGCTCGTTTCGATCACTTTCGGTTCATTTTGCGGTTTTCAGTTTTCCTAACCCAACCCTACTGATCGTGCATTATTAAGTTGAGAAAGTATATGGCTCTGTTTGGGATCAACGTTAGAGATCAGCTTTAGAATTTTGTAAAGATTATCTGACGGTAGTCTTTAACGCTAGCATTTTCAGAAATAATCTACACCATTAAATTTCTATCCAAAACATTAACACTAATTGAAAACCTGATCTCCAAACAAGAGCTTAGGACATTTGAATTGAGTAATTTGATCGTTCGGGTCAGATGGTCACTCATTAGGCCATCACAGCTATTTTCCAGGCCAAATAGCTTCTGTGCCCCCTCTGGTTTGGAAAATTGGCAGCAATACCCCCTCTGTTTTCAAAACTTATTTAAAAAGTCTCTGTAGTTTCAAAACGTTGCATCCACACCCCCTCCGATCATTTTCCAGCCATTTTCCGGCGAAGAGGGGACATTGGCGCATAATTTCTAAACCATAAGGGGCATTCGTGCTCATTTCTTATATTTGTTTATTATTCTTCCCATTTTAAAAATACTAGTTTTTCAACCCGTGCCACGCACGGGATCGATTTTTTTTTTGTCGATTCTTTAATTTTTTCGTTGTCATATTTTTCGGAATCAAGTAAATATATTTATCTCACATGGTTTTTAATACTATAGGCAAAAATACAAAAATAAAATAAATAATATTTGAGGAATTGAATGTGTACTCTACAAAATTTGTTTTAATTCTGAATTTCCTGAAAGACTTCAGAGTATACAACATTTTTTGGGTGTGATTGAAAGGGTTTTCATTATCATTTCGAACCAATATTTTTAATCATGTCTTTGTTTTCACTGGTAAAACAACAATATAGAATGACCATCGACTTCGTTAAAAATAATCCAACAAAAACAATATTTGAGACTCGTCTTTTCTGGAACTTTAGGGATAGTCCTAGATATATGGGATGATACCAAATTCATCCAGGATATGTAAACTTTTTCCCCAACCCAATTTTACGAATAACAATAGCACCGATAACGTTTTTCGCAGTTCTTCAACATAATCGATACCTCCTTTTTAAAACTATTTTGTCGGATAAGATTCTCGAAAATTTAATTTCATTCAAAAACTCAACTATTATTAAATCGTCATCAACGCTTACATCTGAATTTGTCTGGCATGCATAATCAACTCAAGTACTCTATTTCATCTCTTGGGATGAGGGATACGAAAAATATATGACCAATTCTACAACCTCGAGCGTGTGTGCCAATAACTATCTTTCGTTACATTGTTCTTACAATGGTGCTATCGAAGTAGAGAAGTAATAATTTTTTGTAGCATACGGCTTGATTAATAAATAACCAAAAATATTAGTTTTTTTGAACTCAAATTGCTAGTGATTTTTTTCGAGAGTATAGAAGTATGTAAAAATTAATAATAAGCTCAAAGATGTTAATTTTTGACTTTTAATATAAATAAGGTGTGTGTTATATAAAAAGGCATTAGGGACCATATATAAATATTTTTACATAATATCAAACATTTTTATACCCTTTATCCATTAATAAATTTTATTATAATTTTCAAAGTCTATATATTTTTCTATGATAAATTGTGTACCGTTTAAGAATATAACAATTACTTTTTATCTAAAAATTTAACAATTAGTATTCAAGAATATTATTTGATTTTAATTACATTTATAACAATTAATATTATACCATAAATATTTTGATTGTGAACATCAATCAATACTTAACTTATTACACATAACTAGTACCTTACCAACTCTTTAACGTTTTAGAAATTGTTTATTGGAAACTAATAATTTTTGTGTTACAAATATGAAAAGTTTTACAAAGCTATTAATTAAAAATAGTAACTTTAATATGGGTAATACTAATTTGAAAAAGGAGCATAATTTTTATTGGACTTAGAATATTTTTTTTATTGTACACAAAATATCATTAATGCTCTATTAAATAAACATGCCAATAAAAATCTTTTTCTTTTTATATACTTGATTCTCTTTTTTAGAAAATGAAAACAAATGTTTTAAATGTTAGTTTATAATATTATTATTATCATTATTATTATCCTTATTATTATTATTATACGTAGCTCAAATCCTTAACTTACATTTTTTATTGAGGTTGTTAATATGAAGTTCCAAGCCCAAACTTACATCACTTTAATCAGCTTTTTTTATTTATAGTGTATTCAAATTTTTAGTGAGTTTTATTTTTGAATTCTAATATACATAAGGCATGTGTTATATAAAAAAATATATTTTATCAATTTATAATTTATTTGCCTTTTAATATATGTAGTATACATTTTCAATTTATTTAAAAATAAATTTTATTTTATTTTACTTTTTAATAAAATGGTATTTAAATATCATTTATTTATCCCTTCCAAAAAAACTACCATCCAGTCATTCACTTTCTAAATTTCCATTGTGCAAAAACAGTTTCCATGCACGCAAATCTTCATTGGTTCGCAACCATTTCAAACCAGTCCTCCCACAACATGCAGAAACAGAACCAATAATCTCCTAACAAATAAAATTACATCCAAATATATGTATATATTCAATCTTGCAAATGGAGAAGATAATTCCTTCAGGAAAAAGCATTAGTATCGGCAACAATGGATGTAACGGCTCCGGCAGCCCTGTGTCGCGATTGTTCATCACTTCCAGCATTAAAAGGAATGATTTGAGTACACAACGCCCTGGCGATGAAGATTCCTTGGATAATGTTGCAGAAAAGGCCGATCAGATATGCCGTGATGTTGATCAATTCATCTCCGTCCTCTCTGAAAGCGACCGTAGCTCCAGTCTGCCGAACATTCCCGACGCCGTCGAAGATCTATGCAAGATCGTGGAGTCAAGGACTGCCGAGTATGTTTCCAGAAAAAACCAGATCCGATTTGGTAAGGTAACAGAGGAGGACGGCTCCTTCATTGATGCCGTCATACGGTTGTCGAAATTGAGCAATGTGTTCAACGATTTTCCGGCAGGCTCGACGACGTCGTCGTGGTTGAACCGGATCGGAATTGTGTTGCAGCGGGCGATGGCTTTCATGGAAGAAGAGTTGCCTGTCTTATTGGAAGGTTCGAGACATTTCTCGGATTCTAATGTGAGGAAATCGTTGTCCTTGGATTCTAGGGATGAAGATAGAGATACATCTCCACGCGAATCCGAATCTATCGGGAAGGATAATTATCCGGCGTGTTCACCGGAGGCCGTGGCTGCAATTAGCCGCATAGCCTCAGCCATGATCGCGGCTGGATATGAGAACGAATTCTGCCAGGCCTATTCGATCTCGCGGAGAAATGCGTTCTCTGAACAGATGAAGAAATTCGATTTCGAGAGGATTAACGTGGAAGATGTTCAGAAAATGCCTTGGGATACTCTGGAAGGGGAGATCACGAGATGGATGGGAGTGATGAAATTCTGCTCAGAGACATTAATTCCGGGAGAACGGAGACTCGCCGACTCTATTTTCTCCGATCATCCGCCGCTCTCCCACACCGTCTCCACCAATTTCACTCGTCCGGTGGTGATTCAGCTCATGGACCTGGCGGAGGTGGTGTCGATGACGAAACGCTCCGCCGAGAAGCTCTTCAAATTCCTAGACATGTACGAGACCATCTGCGATCTCACCTCCACACTCCGCGATTGGTGCTCCGACGGCAGCCTGAGCGAGATCAGACACGAGATCGCCGCCGTCGGAGATCGAATCGGAGAAGCTGTCGTCAGCCTTTTCCTCGACCTCGAGAACTCGATCCGAAACGACGTGTCGAGAACTCCGGTCCCCGGCGGAGCCGTGCACCCTCTGGTGCGCTACGTCATGAACTACCTGGAGTACACTTTCGAATACAAAGACACATTAGAACGGATCTTCAACCAACACGGCGGTCCGGACATGATCCAACCGTCACTCGGCTCACCCTTCGACGGGAACAACTCATCGCCAGCACCGGAACCAGATCCAGAGATCAAAACGACACCATTCTCCACACAAATCGTGACGGTCATGGATCTCCTAGACGCGAATCTACAAACCAGAGCATCGCTGTACAGAGATCCATCCCTGCGCGACATATTCCTGATGAACAACGGCAGATACATTCTCCAGAAAGTGAAACGGTGCGGCAAGATGCACAAACTGATGGGCGACGATTGGTGCCGGAGGAGATCCGGGATCGTCAGACAATTCCACAAGAGCTACCAACGGGAAACATGGGGGAGGGTGTTGAGAATCCTGAACCACGACGGATTGCAGGTGAACGGGAAAATCGCGAAGCCGGTTCTGAAGGAGAGGTTCAAGAGCTTCACCGCCGCATTCGAGGACATACACAAAACACAGAGCAGTTGGGTGGCCAGCGACGAGCAGCTACAATCGGAGCTCCGGGTATCGATCTCGTCGGTGGTGATTCCGGCTTACCGGTCTTTTCTGGGGAGGTTCAGACAGTGTCTTGAGAATTCTAAACAAGCGGAGAGATACATAAAGTATCAGCCGGAGGACATTGAGGCTTTGATAGAAGAGTTATTTGAGGGCAATCAGGCGTCAATGGTAAGGAGGAGAGCATAGCCATTTGCGAGTTCATCACTTTAATTACAATTTACAAAGATGAAGTCTACCATTTCTTTCTCCTTCTCAACTGTTAAAAACTCATAATCATAACCATAACATAGTAGAGATATAGTAGCATGAAGTATATCAACAAACAAAACGAATTTTTGTTAGCTAATGGATTACTCCCTTCCTTGTAGTATTTTTGTCTTATTGCAATTTATCACGCAATTTTTTTATGTGTTGTACAGTTCCTATTTAAGTTATAAATTTATATTGGCGTTATTATAAAAGGAAATAAATACACCATGCCACTATGACATTCATGGATATAAATTAGCACATTACATTAAGCAAACATTTTCTAAAAATACCTATTAAAACATTTTATTTGAATTTTCATACCGCACATTAATATATCGTTAGCGAGCACAGACCACTATTTGAAAATCGCGTACAAAACTTTTGTTTATTTTTACGTTTTTATTGATAATTTGATAAAATAAAATTTTATTGTTACAACTTACAACCTGTGTTAAAGAACTTTTCACGTAGATTTTAAATATATAAATTTTATTTTTTATTTCTATACAACTCTTAAAATAAATTGAATTAAAAAATTTAAAAACTTCACTTTGTTTGGCGTAATGTGACAATATTTTGGGATGGATGGAGGATAATATTTCTTTAGATTTTAGTACGGAGTATATAACTTCTATGTAAAACAAGAAGTGAACGAATAATATTTGGGAGAATTTCTCTTATATTTTTGTAGGACCCCACAGGTTAAGAAGTCTATATGGAAACTAAATACAAAAGGAAAGGAATCAACATATATCGGGAAACTACCATAACAATATATACGGAAGTATATGGAAATAATATATTTGGAAATATGTGGAAATATAATCTTTCTTTTAACACCCCCCTCCCAAAGTTGGAGCATGCTAAACTAAAATGCCCAACTTGAGAATAAGAAACTCCAGATGAGATTTTCCCAATATGAATATCTGCAAGCTAGTGCGTAGTAAGAACATGATGCGTACGAACCACACCGCGAAGAAGCTCATCATGAATAAAATGGCAATCAATTTCAATATGCTTCGTGCGCTCGTGAAGACTGGATTAGCTTCAATGTGAAGTGCAGATGTGTTGTCACAATGAATAGTCCTAGGATGATCGTGCCAGACTCCTAAACAGTGCAAGAGACTCTTCAACCACTTCAACTCACAAGTAATAGCAACAAGAGCCTGATACTTAGCTTCAAAGAAACGGGTGATTTCAATCCGTAAAACTACCACTTGCAAATCGGAGTAGGTGACTTCAATTAACAACATATATATGTAGCCACACTGCTTGACAACTGGCTCAGGTTGCTGCCATGTATTATGCTTCGTATAACGAGAGTGCTACTCTATCTTATGCAAAACCAATGATATCGGAGATGAGCCAATAAAACATGCCCTGTCGTACTCCGCACGTGATCATGGTTTGCATTATGACTACTATCACAATAATTGACTAACCTAACTGATTTGCATTGTGTGTACCTTATGCCAAAACCCATCGTACCCTTTAAGTAACGAAGTATTTTCTTAGCGGGTGACATATAAGATCGTTTTGGAGATTGCATGTACTTACTTATAATCCCAACTGAGTAAGCCAATTAAGTCCGGGTTTGTAAGAGATACCTTAATGGTCCTACTAGTCTGCGATACTCGGTGGAATCAATTTCACTCTTGTAACGCCCTAAAAATGGGCCTATTAATTTTAATAAAATCTTTCACAAAGCAAACTATTTTGTTCAATAAAAAAATAGAAATTCAAAAAAGGTCAATTGTTTTATAATCAATGTTGGTTCGGTTTGTTTGTAGAGTTTATCAAGAACTTTCCAACGACATATTTTATGAGCAAAATATATTTATAGATAAAAAGCTATGCGTAAATTAATATTCTTAAAAAAATAAAAAAATAAATTTATAAAAAGATTTTCTAAATAAAGTTAGCATTAAATATAAGTTGGTATTTTATTGAATTAGACAATTTATTTATAAAAAAATATAAATACAAGTTTATAATAAATGAAATCAATTATAACACATGAAATAAAATAGAGGAACTAGAGTAAATCCTAGAGTAATTTACCTAAATAGGATTAAAACATAATGACTTTCTCAAAATAAGACCATATGTTTTTATTTCTCAATGTAGGACCTTTGGTCATTATTAATTAGTCATTATTCAAGTAAATGTCCATCATTGCTGTGCATTATTCCTTCCACGAAGACATTATTAAGTCCTATTTAGGGAATAAAAAAGTTTAAGTCCTGAATTAGGAAAATCATTATGTTTTAGCCCTATTTAGTGCAAATTTCACTAAATCCTATCCTAATCTTTAAGCTTGACATGCAAAGGGTAAGTGGCAAATTAAGGACACTAACTTATCCTTTGAATAGCCACGTGTAACCTCATCATTTCTCCCAATTCTTAAGCATTAAGAAAACTTAGCTATAAATAGAATATAGAAGCTAAGCTAAAGCCCATGTTTTCTCCACTGCAAAACAAATTATCCTAGTAATCAACTTGTTATATATATACTCGTGGAGTAGGCAAGAACGCCGAAGTTTGAGCGGCTGCCAAAAGTTCATTCATTTTTTTTGTCAAAACAACTCGCCTCAATCAAACGCCAAGGTGAGTACCGCCGCCCGTATAACAATCATTACTTAATATAATACGTTAATATATGCTATATTTGTTATATATTCAATTGAATTAATTTCGGTCACTAATAATCGGGAACACCACCGACTTTTATTTTTAACATGTGTTACGTTCAAATTATCTAAAATATTCTCCAAAAGGAATCTATGATGATTATATAAGGGCATGCGAATAGAAAATAAAATTTTGAAACAAATTTTTGAATACCGTTAAAGAAGGCGACCGGATAATGGGTCACGATAGCTGCATACAATTTGTACAAATCTTTACGTCCAAACTATTTATTATGTTTTATAAAAAGTATTTTGATGATAAAAAGAAAAAAATTTGGGTTTTGAACATAAAAACAAAGTTACCTCGTCGGAGAAGGTGACCGGAAACGACCAACTCCAAGTGACAAGATTCTTTTACATTATATGCCTAAAACTACTTCTCTACATTCTAAGGAAATTTTTAATAAGATTTTAGTAAGAAAAAAAAGATAGCTTTGAAGCAAATATAAAATACTCTATGTATTATTTTTAAATTTCGTATATGGAGTAAAATATGATATGTGTTAAATTTGAAATATGGATTCAAAAAAAAGTTATTGAGGCACATATAGATACAAATTATATTTCTCAAAATTAATAAACGATTTCTGATATGTGAACTACGGTTCACGAGGTTCCACAGGGTTAACCTTGCCAGTACCCCTCCATTGCCGTACCGTATGTACGAGCTTGTCATAATGAACTAGTCGGGTACGTTAAGTACTCGGAGTCCCAGTTACATAATGGACTTGTCTTGTACGTTATGTACTTGAAGTCCCAGTTAAACAAGACCAAAACAGAGTAAAGGAAAAGTTCAAATATGTGGATATTGCACCTTTATGGAATACTGAAACAGAAATGATTGATATTATCAAAGTAAAGAATTTTGAGAAAAAGTATATGTTTGCGCTATTATATTTTGTACCTATTGTTATAATTGGTACCATTCAGCTTTTGCTGATCGGGTTGGCTCCATTTTTTTAGGTACATAAATAGAATAGTGACCGAACCGGAGGACAAAGCTAAGGCGATGGAAGGATGGACGAGATGACATAAAGAAGAAATATTTGCACTAAATAGTACTAAAATTTAAGTCATTTCCCTAAATAACACTTAAATTGTTTTATTCTCTAAATAGCACTTAATAATGTCTATAATGTCCAGTGATGGCGAATATTTACTTGAATAATGACTAATGTATAATGACTAAAAGTGCTACATTGGGAAGAAAAACACATGTGGTGCTATTTAGGGAAAGTCATTATGTTTTAGTGCTATTTAAGTAAATCCCCCCATAAAGAACGATAACCATAATAAAGATGTTATTTTGAAATATATATTTTGTACGAATATGTTAAGCTTCCGCATTTATAATAGTTACTCCGATATTATCAATAAATAAATAAAGTTTTATTTAATGCTCCATCTACCTATTCAAAAAGTTAAACCCGTTAACACCGCGAGCCGGATATTCAAATAAATTCGGGTTTCTGGGTCGTGGCATTACAACTCTCGTCCTCCTCCTTTATTAACCGAGTATCTAGGTTCATCGGCACATAGGTTAGATTGTGGTCTATCATCCATGCATCTTTCAGAATCATTTTCGTATATGCCTCCTGCTTGATTGTATCTTGTTTGCTATTCGCAACACTTCTATCCCAACGTAATACGTAAGCTTTCCCAAATACCACATTTCAAATTTCTCCGTCATAGCTTGCTTGAACTTGGATATGATCGTCAGATTGGAACCAGTTACAACCAAATCATCAACATACACACCAACTATGATTAAGTCAATTTTAATAACCCTTCGATATGCCACTCGTTCTTCAACAAACCTTTGAAACTTCATATCACATAGAATACGTACTATCAAGCTTATTATCCCATGCTCGTGGGATCTGTTGCAACTCGTAAAGGGCCTTCGAAAGTCTGTAAACCATATTTGGTTTCTTAATAAAACCATCCGGATAGCTTACAAAGACTTCCTCTTTTAAATATCTATGCAAGAATACTAACTTTACATCAAGATATGCAATTCCCAACCCTTTGAAGCAGGAAGTGAGATAAGTAACCAAACCATCGCTAGTCGAGCAACCGGGGCAAATACCTTGTCAAAATCACTTCTAGGTTGTTGCACAGGGCCTCTTGGCACGAGTCTTGCCTTATACTTGTTTATCGACCTGTCAACATTCCTTTTGATTTTATTTAGCATATTAAGTTTCACGCCATCTGGTAGTTTGGTTAGAGTCTAAGTTTCATTCTTTTCTATAAACTCAAGCTCTTCCTTCATTGCTTTCATCCATTCGGGATTTTATTTAGCTTCAACAAAATGGTTTGGTTCATCTTCATTGCATGATGACAAGAGCTCAAATTCTTCCCATAGATTTAAAACATGGTCGTTGTATTTAGCCGGTGGTTATTTTTGTCGGGTGGACCTCATGAGTTGAGTCTTAGACAAACTTTTAATTTCATGTGGAACATCTTGCGAGCTATTTGAACTCCATTCATCCCTCTCGACCCAAGTTGAACTCCATTCTTTTTTATGTCAGTTTGGTCCACATTGACTAAAACATTTCCAGTTTCAATTGCTTTACTCCATTGTCCTCAAAGAATACCTAGATGTCGATCATCTTCACAATTGGCCTTGGCGCAATTCCATCTTGGCTTCTCATCAAATACTACATTTCAGGACACAATCAGTCTTTGAGTATAAGGATCAAATAGATGATATGCTTTTGAACCTGGTTTTGGTTCTAGATGAACTAACTTTCTTGGTCGATCATCTAGCTTCTTCATCCCAAATCCATTAACTTTTGCATAGACCACATACCTGAACATCCTTAAGTGACTGATATTTAGTCTTTGACAATGATGCCCTTCATACAGTGTCTATTCTGATAATGCTCTCGCGGGAATCTGATTTAGAATATAGGTTGCATATCGAACTGCTTCTCCCCACAAATAGTTAGGTACCCCCTTTGCCTTGAGTAAACTTTGTGTCATTTTGAGGAGGGTACGGTTCCACCTCTCCACCACACCATTATATATGTTGTTGTATGTACCTACCCCCTTTGCCTTAAGTAAGCTTCGTGTCATTTTGAAGAGGGTACGGTTCTGCCTCTCCACCACACCATTCTGTTAATGTGTGTGGAGCGGTTAAATGCCCGGCCATTCCACTTTCTTTGCTCAAGGTATTGAAATCACATGAGGTGAATTCCCCACACCTGTCTTTTTGAAAAGGGTTTATCTTGGCACATGTCTCGTTCTCAACCATCTCCTTAAATACCTTGAAGGACCTTAAAGCATCTCCTAATTCCTTCATTACGTAAGACCACATAAACCGTGAGTGACCATTGATAATGAGAAATATGTACCTATTTTCAAAAAGTGTTGAAGGTGTAATCGACCCACATAAGTCTCCATGGACTAACTTGCAAAAGGAGTTAGCCATTGGGTTACCTCGGCTAAGTGTCTTCTACAATTCAACTAAGAATGCAAACCGGCTTCTCCACCATCAACTTTGTTTTGTACTACCTGTTTGAGGATCTCTAGACTCTTATAAGCAGCCTTTTGTTTGTGTCGAGTAACTATAGATTATCTCTTTTCATGTTCACTTCACATCTAATTTCAATTGCTTGACCAAGACTTATTATATTTCTCTTAAGCTTAGTTTATAATAAATGTCAGTCAAGAGTTTTTGCACACCTTTGTTCCCTTCAAGCAGAATAGATCCTTTTCCACATATCTCAACACATGAGCTATCCCCAAATCCTACCCTATCACCAACTCGTCCGTTGTTTAGGTACCATATGTCACCATTCGTTGAGTACTAGGTCGAAATCACCTTATCTTCATTCAAGAGCACAGATTCTTGAATGCTTTTCACCATGAAGAGCTGCTAGTCATCTTCATTCGCCTCGGTCAGATGTATCTCACCTTGCTTTCTCCTGTGTTGCGGGCAACTTGAGGCCAAGTGCCCATATTGATCACACTTGAAGCGTTGTACCTTTGGTGTGATCCTTACCTTTTCCTTCTGGTTTTTCAGAACTTACTATTTCAAAATTTTGGGGTCCAAAAAGGTCAATCGTTAGGGCCACGGTCGACCATGAGTTCTTCGAATTTCAGAGTTCTTGATGGTCGATGATTCAGGAGCAAAAATAAACAAAGTGAGGGAAGTGACAGATCTGTCCCCATTTTAGACACCGCATGGATGCTATGTTGGTGTAATGCTAATTTTTGTTAACGCACCAATACTTTGTGTCAGTGTAAATTTTTGTTAACGCACCAACACTTTGTGTCATGTGAACTATCAAAATGTTAGTGCATATCTTTAGTGTACAAATTTTGGAATACACCTAGCATGCTCCAAATTAAAGAGTGGGAGTGAGTTGCCATTGTAAATCGAGACGGGGAGTAACTTTTTCTTGTATGAAATAGGAATACGAAGTGCAACAAAAAATTACTCCGTAGCTCACCCTCGTCTTCTCCGCAGTTTATAATAGCGTTTTCTTGGTCCCTTGGAGTCTTCTCACTCCTCCTCAGTGTTGAAGAAGAAGTGAAGTAAATCCGAAATCTCTTGCAGAAATGGCGGCCCTTCCCTTTTCTACACTGGTAAATCACAACTCCTCGCAAAACCTCTCCATTTTCATTTAGCTCTTTCTGTCTCTGAATCCCCGCCCAATTTTATGCATCTCTTTACTTGCAGGCGAACTCCAGCTCCCCCTCATTCCCCCGAAATCTCTCTCCAATCAAGGCTTCTAGCTCTGTGTTTTCGTATCCGAAGCTAAGGGGATCCAATTCGTCCTACTCGCTCTCGCCTTTATCTCCAGCCTCATTAAACCTAACAAACTTGTCCAATTGCTCAGTTCGAATCAAATCCGGCCGTTCACTTGCTCCTGTTCAAGCCATTTCTCAGGTTAGCTTGTTGATGAACTTCCGATATTAATCCTCTATGTTTGAGATAATCTGTAGTTATTTTATTTTATTTTATTTCGTCGGATTATAATGAACCTGATTGTGAAGTGTATACCCATAGAGTTCTTGATTCTGTTAGGTTCACTTGACTGCTTGGCCAGAAGTAACTTGGTTTAAACCATATTGAATTTAATGGTTTAGCTTGTTCAACCCAAAGATTATTTCCAATTACAGGTCCAGGTTGCTGAACCACAAGCAAAAGTGACTAGCAAAGTTTATCTTGACATAAGCGTAGGGAGTCCCGTGGGAAAGCCTGCGGGGAGAATTGTGATTGGATTGTACGGAGATGAGGTTCCAGAAACATCAGAGAATTTCCGCGCTCTATGCACAGGTTTTTCATTTAATTGTTTTTAAAGAGTCGCTTCTAATGTTCAATGGCATGTTGTTCTAAACATGTTTTCTGTGTTTTTTCAATCAGGAGAGAAAGGATTTGGCTTCAAAAACTCGAGTTTTCATCGTGTTATTAAGGACTTCATGATTCAAGGAGGAGACTTTGATAAAGGAAATGTATATATCACTTATAATGCTATTTGTTTGTTTGCCTCTCCTCTCTTCTGTTCTAAGATACTCCGTAGTATTCTCTGCAATAGCTTCTATCGCTACTAGTGTTGCATATACATGGAGTGTCTTTTAAAAAAAGTGAATATATACTTCCTCTATTTGGAGTTAGTTGTCCCCTTTCTCACTTTAGGCCGGGCTCCTAGAATTAATTGACCACTTTTCATTATTAGCAAACAAATAATGTAAAATTTAGATTAACATTGTTGTCATTAGTGATGATCAACTAATTACAATGAGTTATATGTAATGTAACACCCATCCCTTTTATATGAGGTAGACCATTAGAACCGGGTGGAGGGAGTTTATTCTTTCACAATTAAAAAGGTAGTTTTCTTCAGACCCTTGATGGTGCTGCATTTTACTTGCCAAAACTTCATAGAAAGTAATAACTAAGAAGAAAGAGGAGTTTAATGTGCCTTTTGGTCTTGTCTGTTGTTTAATATGTAGTAGAAGCTAAAACATTGTCAAAATGACTCTTTTGCTCCATTGGCAATGGGTGAATAGATGTCAATAAAAGAAAGGAACAAATGCTTATCTTTCACATCCAACTTACTTTTAACATTACAAGAATAAAAGGGACCAAGGGAGAACACAAAACGCGAAAGGTAATGTGTGATGGAAAATGTTAGCAAATAAATTTCGTTATGGAAACTATTATTCATTAATCCACCGGATCCGGCTGGAGGGAGTATTATTTTGAAAGTGGATAATTAGATCTTGGCGGATGGAGTACATGTATTTCCTCATTTTGCTAACCATTGTCATGCTAATATGTTAATTAAACTATTTCTAGATTGATTGTTATAGAATATGCTTGGAAAGATAGTAAAATAGTAGTTTGCTATAGAAAAAGTTCATGCTTCAAGGAATTCATGATCCAAGGGGTGAATTTGTTCAGGGATATTGTGTCATTCCTTAATGATATTTGCTTGTTCCAATTTTTGTTTTTTATAATGCCCACTTCTCCAACCACTTCTAGCTTTCAAAGTTCTGTGTTTACTAGGAATACTTCTATTGGCACGTTTGGTAAAGATAATGAAGGATTGATTGTGGGTTGTGGGGTAAACCGCAAGCAATTTGATGTTTTCAAGTTTTAGCATATACTCTGTTCTGTATTAGGTAAACGTTTCAAGTGAATTGTTTTGTTTAAATTTAAAAATGTCATCAAATTAGCCGCTATATGTAGTCGATGTGTAAATTATTTCATCCAGCCCTTAATTATAAGGTGTAATTGATTTTTTCAGAAAAACATGAATCATTTAACTAATAACTTAAAAGCATTAAAATTTATCATCCTGTCACGTCATACAAGTTTGTCCGATCTTCACTGCTTGAACTTTCATGTGCAGGGAACTGGTGGTAAAAGCATATATGGCCGGACATTTAAAGATGAAAACTTTGACTGTAAGTTTGGTGTTATCGGTACATTTGTTTCAAGCAATGTAATTATTATGCACAAACAAACACAAACACAACATTTTAATCATTCCTTAACAAGAGCAAATTCACACAGTGACTCATGTTGGACCTGGAGTTGTGAGCATGGCAAATGCTGGCCCCAACACAAATGGAAGCCAGTTCTTCATATGCACCGTCAAGGTATGTGGTAAAGAATGCTAATGATTTTAGTGGGGAGCAGTATATCGTTCATTTTTCCAATAGTGCTGTTTTTTCTTGGGAATACAGAGTAATAGGGAAAATGGGCGGTGAAGGAAGCGAGAAGAGAGAAATAGTGCTGTTTTTTCTTGTTGTTTGGTCGGAGAGAAATGGATAATGGAATAGATAGAAATTGAGTAGATATCACCTTATTTCTCCCTATAAGAGAAAAAAATTAGTGGTAGAATACACCCTTTTCATTTTTTTTTCTCTCTATTTCTCTTTTGACCAAACAAGACAACTTTAACATTTCTCCCTATAAGAGAAAAAAGTTAGTGGTAGAATACACCCTTTTTCATTTTTTTTTCTCCCTATTTCTCTTTTGACCAAACAAGACAGCTTTCACATTTCTCCCTTATTTCTCTCCCTCACACATTTCTCTCATCTCATCCCAATCAAAGTGCTAACACTAATGCATTTGCAAACTGCAGACACCATGGTTGGATAAGAGACATGTTGTGTTTGGGCAAGTTATTGAGGGCATGGATGTAGTGAAGCTCATTGAATCGCTGGAAACGGACCGGGGGGATCGCCCCACGAAGAAAGTGATCATCAGTGATTGTGGTGAACTACTGTAAGCTACTAGATTTTCTCCTCTTCAGATGTTTTGACATTTTAGCCCCGGCGCGTAGTGCGGTAAGGATAATGGAATACTCTTCCCATCAATTGATTGTTCATGGAAAGCATGTCCTTTTTTTGTGTTGTTTCCAAGAGACCAAGATTGTGTTTTGAATGAAACTCTCCTTTCACGATGAGAAATAAAGCAATATGTCTCACCATTCACGGAGGACCAAAATCGCCCCATTAGCGTTGCGTTGAACGGAAAAAAGATTAGAAACTCTTACGAATGTAAGAACAAAGTCAAAAAAATGAACATATGGATCTTTCCATGCTCGTGGATGGAAGGAGAAGATAGGCGGTTGTGGCATTGCATCTCACAATTAGTTTTTTTTTTAGTAACTCATAATTAGAGTTTTGACTTCAACATCAATAACTTTATTTTTTGAGTAGCTTCCATATCTATTAATGTAGTTTCTGTTTAGTCTCAGAATCTCAAGTTCTTAAGCATAGGGGTAGGGCTCAAACTTTTAAGATTTTTTCATTTTGATTTCTAAATTTCATTTTTTCTCACTAAACTACCTTAACTTGATCAAAGTTTTCATCATTGAAATTTTAACAGTTTTACAAGTCATTTGCAAGTCATCTCATTTCTTCTTCTTCAACATTAATACTTCCTCCGTCCTATAATGATCTTCCCGGTTCGCAAAACGAAGAAAAATTCCAAGTTTTTTCAATCTATTTTATTTAAATATTGGTATAGAAATAAAAAAATAAAACATACATATTTAAAAACTACACCAAAAGTTCAACAAAACAAGTGGTGACAAGAATATTTTATTTTATCATATAGGCCATGAAAAAACGCAAATAAATATAAATTCTCATAAATTTGGAATAGTGCTCTGGGAAGATCATTATAGGACGGAGGGAGTAACAACAATAACAATAATAATAGTAGTAGTAATAATAATAACAATAATACTACTAATAATAGTAATAATTAATAATAATGATATTTCCAGGCAATGATAAAGGCTTGCCCGAGCTTCCTAGGGAAACTGTGTACTTTTTCGTGGATCGTATATGGTCTTGTTTGGGAACAGCGTTTTCGATTAGCGTTAGCGTTTTGGATATAATTTTAATGGTGTAGATTAATTCTGAAAACGTTAACGCTAAAAGATACTGTTGGATAGCCTTTTCAAAACGCTAACGCGAATCTCTAACGCTGATGCCAAACGGGCCCTATATCTCCTATATGTCACTCCATGTCCGTTTACACAAGTTTCTATATGGTACCTCAATTTTCACAAAAATTTCGATTCAATACTTAAATTTTAAAACTTTTTAAAAAAATCCCTGAACTTTGAAAATCTTGGTACCTGAAGCCGGTTTTCAGGTAACCAGCAGGTCATTTGGGTCAAGTTTTAATTTTTTATGTTTTACAATTTTGAATTTGACCCCATTTCCTTTTCTTCTTCTCCCTCCCACTTCCTTTTTTCTTCTTCTTCTTTTACCCCTTTTCTTCTTCTTCTTCTTCTTCTTTCACCCCCTTTTATTCTTCTTCTTCAAAGCTCCCATCACCCCACCCCTACCCCCCTTCCTTTCCTCTTTTTTCCAACATCCCCCCTCACTCTCTTCTTGAGCTCCCTCTTTTTGTCTTTTCTTTTTCACATTTTTTTTTGTTTTTTGTTTTTTTCGATCTTATTTGTTTGTTTTTTTGTTAAAATTTTTGTTTGTTTTTTATCTTTTTTTCTTGATACTTTTATATTATTTGTTTGTTTGTTTACGAGTTTTTTGTGACCTTTTTTTTGTAAGTTTTTTTATCTATTCTCTTATGAAGTGTTTTATTTTATTGTTTGTTTTACTTTTTTATTTTTTTGGTATTTTTTGTCTTATTTTTTTGTTTCTTTATCCTTTTTTTGTTTGTTATTTTTTTATGTTTTATTTTTTCATAAAAATGAAGAAAAAAATTAATTAGCATTTTGATTCGTTCTTTTTTTGTGGGTTGTTCTCTTTTTATGTTTCACTTATTCTTATTTTGACTTATTTTATTAATTGATGAGTTTTATTTTGTTGAACATTTTAGTTAAACAAAAAATAATGTACCATACGTTTAATGTTTTTGTTTATTTTATTTGAAAACAGACAAAAAAAGTTAACAAACAAAAAATATCAAATAAAACAAACAAATATCAAGTTTTTAAAATCTATTCTTTTAAGAACTGTCTTATTTCTTTTGTTTGTTTTACTTTTTTATTTTTTGATATTGTTTTATCTTATTTTTGTTTGTTTTTTATCATTTTTATTTTTTATTTTTATGCTATACTTTATTTTTTTCATCAAATGAAGTAAAAAAAACTAATTGAAATTTGGATTTGTTTTTTTGTGGGTTGTTCTCTTTTTACGTTGCACTTACTCGTAGTTTGACTTATTTTGTTTTATTAATTAATTAATTTTATTTTGTTAATCATTTTAGTTAAACAAAAAGATCGTACATACGTCTTCTTTTTTGTTTGTTTTATTTGATATTTGATATTTTTTGTTTGTTAACTTTTTTTGTCTGTTTTCAAATAAAATAAACAAAAAGAGAACAACCCACAAAAAAGAACGAATCAAAATGCTAATTAAATTTTTTCTTCATTTTTATGAAAAAATAAATATAAAAAAATAAAAAACAAAAAAGGATAAAGAAAAAAAATAAGACAAAACAATATCAAAAAAATAAAAAAGTAAAACAAACAATAAAATAAAACACTTCTTAAGAGAATAACTAAAAAATTTACAAAAAAAGTTCACAGAAAACTCGTAAACAAACAAACAAATAATATAAAAGTATCAAGAAAAAAAGATAAAAAAACAAACAAAAATTTTAACAAAAACAAAACACAAAAAAAATGTGAAAAAGGAAAGACAAAAAGAGGGAGCTCAAGAAAAGAGTGAGGGGAGATGCCGGAAAAAAAGAGGAAAGGGAGGAGGGTAGGAGTGGGTAGGGGTGGGGTGAGTGGAGCTTTGAAGAAGAAGAATAAAAGGGAATGAAAGAAGAAGAAGAAGAAGAATAAAATGGGTGAAAGAAGAAGAAGAAAAAGGAAGTGGGAGGAGGGAGAAGAAGAAAAGGAAATGAGGTCAAATTAAAAATTGTAAAATATAAAAAATTAAAATTTGGCCTAAATGACATACTGGTTACCTGAAAACCGGCTTCAGGTACCATTCGTGAAAAATTTTCAAAGTTCAGGGATTTTTTTGAAAGGTTTTGAAGTTTAGGTGCCGAATCGAAATTTTCGTGAAAGTTGAGGTACCATTTTTGAAATTTACCCGTTTCTATACCCATACAACTTCAAGACACCTTGAAAAAAATATTTTATTGGAATCAGAATATCACAAATTTATAATATTTAAATATTAAAACATACCTTTGCGAAATTGGCAATGGCTTGAACAGGAAACTCGGTCCAACATCTTCAAATACTCATCCCAAAGATCGCTTGTCGTCCCGTAGGCTAGCTGTCGAATCACACTCGTACACTTTTGTAAAGCTGTGAAACTGACTATCTTGGTGGCTCTAACCTTTGCTTGAAGAAAACAAAATTTTCATTCATATATATCTTTGACAATAGATGTGAATAAACTGCGGCTCATTCGGAAAGGATGACTGAAAAGTAACCCCATCCGCAAATGTTTCCTCCTATTGAGGTGCAAACTCCATCCCACATCGGAAGTGGAGAAGAAGAATGACCAAAATAAATAGGTCTAACCCAACTCATTAGAATGATGCCTTTTGAAGGATGTCTAAAAAACAAATCCGTGCGAGCTAGGTCCATAGTGAACAATAACATAGTAATATGGGATTGGAGCGAGGTTATACGTGGTGCTAACATGTGGTATCAGAGCCTAGGTTCTTGCAGAAAGGAATGGTGTATTGTGTTGCACGGGGTTTTCAGTGTGCCCGGTGTGACAACATGACCGAAGGTCTGGAAGCGGTGCATTGTCTCTAAAGTCTTCGTGACAAGTCGTGGTCGGGTGGCATGTCCCGTTTGGTGTTAACGACAGTAAAAATGATTAAGGAGATCAAATGTTGTGACCTAAGCAGATTGGTGCTCTATGGTATACCTTAGCTTGTGTCAAAACTCTTCGCGGAAAAATGAGGCCAGGCAGGATGTCCCACGATGTTAAGTCACAATGCTATCATGTGGTATTGGAGCCTGGGCTCTTGCAAGCAGGAACGGTGGATTGCAGTACACGGATTTTTCGGTGTGCCTGGTGTGATAGCATGATCGAAGGTGTGCAAGTGGTGCATTGTCTCTAAAGTCTTCTTGCCAAGTCGTCGTCGGGTGGCATGTCTTGTTTGGTGTTAACGGCGGTAAAAAATGATTCTCCAGATCAAATGTTGTGACCTAAGTTGATAGGTGGTCTACGGCATACCTTCGCATGCGTCAAAGGTCTTCGCGGCAATAGGAGGCCGGGCAACGTGTCCTACGACGTTAAGTCACACCATTTAATGTGGTATTGGGGTGAGGGTACACGTGGTCCCAACATGTCGTATCAGAGCCTAGATTCTTGCAGGCAAGAACAGAGAACTCTGTTACACGGAGTTTTCTGTGTGCCCGGTGTCACAACATGATTGAAGGTCTGCAAGCGATGCCTTGTATCTAAAGTCTTCCTTACAAGTCATGGTCGGGCGGCGTGTCCCTTTTTGTGTTAACGATGGTACAAAATGATTTGGGAGATCAAATATTGTGACCTAGCTGATTGATATATGGTCTGTGGTATACCTTAGCTTGTGTCGAATGTCTTCGTGGAAAGAGGAGGTCAGGCAATGTGTACCACAAGGACACAAGGTTATAGTGGCAGGACAAGATGGTGTCTAGACCAAATGGGTAATCGCTGAAAGAGAGGTCACGAGATTGTGTTCTCTAGGTTTGAGCGGAGGTTTGTTGACGTACAAATTCCCTCCCCATAGGAAGTGCAGAAGAAATTTGACCAAAATACATAGGTCTAACCTAACTCTTAGTATGAGACTTTTTGGAAGATGCCTAAAACAAATCTGTGCAGACTTGGTCCACAACGGAGAATATCATGCTAATGTGGGCGAGGGTACGCGCGATCCCAACACCTCCTCTCTTGGTTCGAGCCTTCCTCTGCAATTGCGATGATTGTTGTCACTATTGCTTGGACACAATATAGGAATATGGACGAAATTTCATTAAGATGACGAGTTGCGGGTTATTTTTTCTTCCGAACTCATTTTGCTTTTAAAATTAATAATTTTTTATTATATTGTTGAGAATTAGAGTGGTGGAGATAGAGTGAAGATGTGAGAATTTATAAATTTTTGTAAAATCCAAAAATAATAATAATTACAACGACTTTATAGCCGTAAATCTCGTAATTCAACGGCTCAGAGCAAAAAATCATGCAACGGAGCTGCAGTGGCGCGAGTCCCGCAAGAGGGGTCACGCCCTCATCACGCTCAGTGTGGCACGACGGGGCGCGATGACCGCTAGCCACCTCCAAGTCGCGCCGTATACGACGTAGTCTTGAGGTCAAAGGTGCGTGGGATGTAAGTGACTTTCAGAAAAAGGGTGGGATGTAAGTGAGGTGGCGAAGCATGGTTCTAATGAAAATGATTATCTTGCTCGGCCGGCAATCCTTAGCTTGAAACTTTGTGCAAGAGACAACTGACTCGAGGGGTGCGATTTTCGAAGCACTCTGTAATTTCGAAACTAACTGAAAAGTAAAAAAAAAGACATTTGACCAAATGGGAGTCATTCATGTAGATTGGTTCGAAGAGGATACATGAGAGGATCTTGGTCCCATACATACATAGGCCTTGTTTGGGAAGAACGTTTTCGATTAGCGTTAGCGTTTATGATAAAATATTAACGGTGTAGATTAATTCGGAAAACGCTAACGCTAAAAGCTACCGTTCTCAAAACGCTAACGCTAATCTCTAACGCTGATGCCAAACGGGGTCATAGTCACATGACAACTCGGGGGAACCTGTTTAGTTACAGTGACACTGCCACTAAAATACGGCAAACCCACAGTCCCACTGTGGGACCCACACTTTTGGCTCTTCCCTTGTGCGATCCTTGTCACGACACACGTCTTCCCACGTTTGTACTAGCACTATCTTTTGGTTGAATAGCATGGCATACTTTCTCTCTTTTCTTTTTTCTTTTTTTGATAAATTATTAAAAAAAAAACTCTCTAGATCCCAAAATATTCGCCCCATTTCACAAAATGAGATAATATATCAAATTTTTTAATACGAATAGTTAATTAGAATATTTTAATTAGTTATATTATTATTTAATAGTTACTTATTACTCCGTATTATTTATTAATATTGATAGTTTAGGATTTTATTATGGGCCCGAGCCCATTAGCTCAACTCTTATTTACAGAAGAAAAATATAGAGCTCTTATTTTAATACATTTTATATGTATTACTCATATTTACGCGATTTCTTCCGGATATAACTTATATCTTGGTCTTTCTACAAAATTTTTATCTTAATTCTTTTTTTCATTTCAACCTTCTACTTCTTGTTTAGTGCTGCTTCACACGATGACGACGGTACGTTTGTTTTTGTCCGTAGACCATTTGGTTTCACCAAATATAGCATTGGTGACAATAATTCTTCCGCAGTTTTTTGTTGCATTGCATGGCACAATAATATGTATATTATTGTACGTCTTAAACCACGTTTTGCAATGGCCATTATTTTGGTTCGAGTTGTCAAAATCGCATTAAAATAAAACACGTTTAGTTGGAGACTTTCATCATTATAACTTATCTATGATTAAATAAATGTTAGTTAGGTGGAACTAAAAGACACTCAATTTGTAATATGTGCAACACATTTGAACTAAATCACACTGAGAAAAATTGAATTGAATTGAATTCAAAATCTAACTCCAACATACTTATTGAAAGATGAAATGAATTTGTGTATTTACAAGAAAGGAATGTACATTTAATGCTCATAGCTAAACCCCAAACACATGAGCTATCTGAGAGAGGGGGAAATGAACAGAAACATCCTAACAAACGGCCGAAGAACACGATTTGATCAGCCCCAAGTTGTAGAGGAATTTCTCCGACCTCGACCGGAACAGATTCCCCAGGGAGAATCTGGGAGTCTGTTGCGGCGGGGGTGGCCCCCCCGGGTTGGAGTGCAGGTCGTCCTTCACACGGAGAATGTTTGACCCTATTTTTTCCCTGACTGCCTCGATGGTTTCGCTCTTAACCGGGCATCCGGATGTATCGGTCACATAGAAAGCATTCACCGCTTGTGAACCCCTGGTGGTGACCTCCGCTCTGGTCACTGAAAGCCCGTTCTCCCTAAATATCCGCGTCACGTCCGATAGAAGCCCGACCCGGTCTTCGCTGCACAACTCCAGTCTTATCCCCTGCAAATGCAAATGGAGGAGAGGTCTTATTCAAATCCAACCCAGAAAAAGAGGTAGAGATTGAATTGAATGTAGCATTTCGAATCATATTAAGTTTGGGATTATGGACACAGAAAAGGGTTTTATCTAAAAGTGTTTTTGGTTAATTAAGTCGGAACGGGTTTTGTACCGATGAGGTTCGTCTCTTGATAGCAGCCTCCAAGCAATGGATTAAGCGTTGTCTTTCGGCTTCAGAACTGATGGGGCATCCATCAGTATGCCTAATGTAGTATTCCTAGCAAAGCCACAAGTATTGAGAATTAATACAAAATGCAATATAATCACGTATTTACACCATATATATACGTGTGACATGATGTAAGTGTACACTAAAAATATATTATCAAACAAAAGGGGGTGTTTCATTGTGCTTGTGTGCTTATAGACTTATTGTTGATAAGTAGTTTTTTAAATTATAAGCTCTTTAAGAGTTAAATATTCTATCATGTAGATAAAATGACTTAAATGATACTCTGTATATATGTAATTTGGGGATATTCGTAATAGGTGAGAGATAATTTTGTAAATAATCTGGTCAAAATGGAGAAACGAAAAAACTGACTTAAAAATAAGTAGGCAAGACTTTCTTTTTTCTTTTAAGCAACTTATAAGTCAGCTCATAAGAGCTTAGAGAAACACGACACTTGCTTATAAGCAGTTTCGACCAGTTAAAAGCACAGAGAAACCCACAATACTTTGGCAACTTATAAGCTTAACCAAACTCTCACCTGATAAGCCTCGGGCCCTTCGGCAATGATAGTGCCATGATACACTACATACTGCATATCTGTTAGAGTGCAGACGGTATCAAACAAGAGTTTGGGCCGGTCCGGACACCTCAAATTCACCATGGTGTAATCCTTTTCGGCCCAATTCTCGACAGCCACAACCGGTCCGGGCTGATTCCTTGACACTTCATTCACATTGTCTTTGTCGTAATCACGATCAGCGTACATCAGTTGGTGCAGCCTCCTCTCTTTGTGTGTGGAACCAAAAGAAACTGCGCTGTTCGCGCCTGTCCTGTCTCTGTCCCCCATGAGAATGTATAACAGAAGCTGCTTTATTTTGGTTAGCTTTTCTGGGTCGTCTATTGCCCGCCCATTCTGTTCGTCCGTGATGTAGAGAAGGGAAGCCATTCTTGAGTTGTGGGTCCATACTTCGGCTGCCACAACGTTACACTTGTGGTCGGTGAGGACAGCACAGATGTCCGAAAGCAAGCCGGGTCGGTCTCTTCCTGACAATTCAATTGTTGTGTGCTCAACAGCAGATTGAACACCGACCGATCTTGTCAATGACCGAAAGCTATAACTCCTCTGTCCCAAGGACTGAAACATAAAAACGATAACCATGTATGTTTTACACTATTAAAACTCACATTAGAATCAAGAATCCTATATATAAGATGACTAAAATCAGATTAAAATCACTTGCTTGTGGGTTTGAGTTGCAGAATGAAGCATTCAGATTTGTAGATTCACCTGTTTAATTCGTTCCACGACATTACCATGATCGGTGAGCTTATTTCCATGCTGATCAGTCACATGAAACACTACAAAGACAGAACATCATAAAGATTAGAAAAACAACAGCAGCATAAAGAGTAAAAAAATACCTTCAAAGAACCCTATAAAAGGATCAAGAGTAAAGAAACTCACCATCCATAAACCATTCTCCGTCCGAAGAAATATAAGCACGGCGAATAATGAGGTCCATATCAGTAAGAACTTGAGCCACCTCCAACAAGCTTCCACGCTTATTTGCACTATCAACCTGTGGGTAGAAAAAACATTTGGTTTACTAGAAATCATTCAATCAATCACCCGTCTAAAAAAACACCCAAAATGAAAACATAAAAATTGAATCTTGTCATGAAACAATCAAATTCATGAGACAACAAAACACCAACAAACCTTGATGAGAGTTGCTCTCTTGTCTGATATGTTATCAACACTCACCCTAAAAAAGAAACCCCAAGAATTTTATTCAATCAGATTCAACAAACACACACACATCAATAATCAATAAAACAAATCAGAACATGAGAAAAAGAAACCATTTCAAGAAAACCCAGATAGAGCAAGAATCAATCTTTTAAAAAAGCACCTTGGTGGGTTCATCCTGAGCACAAGCTTCTCAAATTCGTCATCGAAGGTGACAGAAGAAGACCAGCAATCCATGGTTCCAGTTCCTGAAATCTCAGGGGGTGGGG